GTATGCGAGAATTTATATCCACTTCATTATTAGGGCCTTGTTGTCTAAAGAACGCTCGAGGAAAAGGCGGTGTTGGCAATGCCCCTACATTTTCCTGTTGTTCGCGCTTATTGGGTGGTTCTAGTCTAGCTTTATAGCGGAGCCGATCTTGAAGGTCTTGCAAGTTGCATGCGATGCTACACAGGGTTTCTTAGAAATGGATTGTGGTGGTGAGAAACTTGGGCCCATTTCTAAGAGCGAGCGCGCATTATCGGGGAGAGTCATGCCTCCTAACACGTGACCTTGAAAATTAAAAGTTAGACCCATCATCAGCTGTGTAGACGGGCCAACGGATAGAATAACGTGGTTTTCAAACTTAATACTAGTCTAACTACTAAAACACATTCCAGCCCATCTTACCAATACACAAATGTTCTTGGATCATCTGCGTAACGCGTCTCCCACCAACGCGTACGTAATGGAATCGTTCGACGTAACCGCTCTTTATACAAACGTGTCGAATGAGTCCGCAATGCAAGCCATATGCGAGCTTCTAACGGAGCATGAACGAACTACGAACATGTATGGCTTCTCCATTCGGCAGGTCATGGCTCTCTTAAAAGAGTGCCTAAGCTGCTCATTCTTTAGATGGTCTGGGAATTATTTTGCGCAGATCAGAGGGCTGGCAATGGGACAACGACTAGCTCCGACCCTTGCTATCGCTTTTATGTCTAAAGTAGAGGCACCGATATTCGATCTCCGGGCGTTACTCTACTGTAGGTATATAGATGATTGTTTTGTCGTCTGCTCAACGCAAGAGGAGATGGACAAATGTTTTGAGTTGTTAAATAGCCAGTCAGAGTACATAACGTTCACCCGTGAGAAACCTAAGGACAATTGGCTCCCATTTTCAAACATTCAAGTTAACCTCTCTGAAAACTCCTACAACACAAAGTGGTATCGTTAACCAAGCAACAAAAACATCCTGGTTCACTACCTATCTGCTCACCCCTCGCACACAAAATGCGCACTTATGAAAAACATGTTTCGAACAGCTGCTAATGTGTGCACAGGAAAAGAACACAAGGTAGAGTCCCTGAGCTTGGCGCGAAAAATAACCACCTCGAATGGCTACAACACGATAGGAGCTTCTCGGGTTAAATTTAGAGGAAATTCGGCGCCCCTACACGGAAGGTCTAGCGAGGATAAAGTTCCAGTCATCCTGCCTTTTATTTCCAACGAAGTAAGTGCAGCTATTAAACGCTGCTTAAAAAGAGCAGGTTTAGATAATTCGGTAGCAGTAGTCGAGATACCACCAAAAACACTGAAACGCCAATTAGTCCGCAACCGGCTGTATGATCGTCTCTGCGAAACTATCGACTGCAAAGTTTGCCCCAACGGCAGAGACGGCGACTGCATGAGGTCAGGTACAATTTACCTGATCTCTTGCGAGGCATGCGGGGATGAATATATTGGCGAAACGAGGTAGACCACTCTGCATCCGCGTAAAAGAGCACCTAGCTGGGAAACGTAACTGCGACCCAAAAAACCCCACTAGGCATGCATAGGGACAGAAGCATGAAGGAGCAGATTTTGTCGTTAAATTCACGGTCCTTGCACAGGAATTGAAAACATCCACGCGCAAAACTTTGGAAGCCTTTTGGATACATAGCAAAGGCCCAAAAATGAACCGAAAAGAGGAATGCCTCATAATAACGCGTGACCTAGCTCCATACCTCAGGCTGATATTCCCGACCTGAGCCAGGCACAATCTCATATTATCATAGACTCCAAGTGGCAGGTCTTCAATGATTAATTGAGAGACCTAAAACATTTAAAAGGTGAGTGTTTTTGAAATGAAGTTATTCCTATGCGACCCAAAAATTTATCTCTTACGTTTTCTGCTAGGGTTATGGAGGTCTTTGATTTAATAACTTGCGAATCAATTTGACCTTTCCAGGCTCTGAAGATGGCGAACCTTGCCGAAACGTAAGCCACACGACTGTTGTAATATTCGTGCTGCATTATTAACTGTATTGTTATATGCTTCGCTGATATTCAATAAATCATACTACTAACACCTCGAAGCGGCTAAACAGAAGAAGATACTGAATTATTTACACTCAATAGTGTTGAGTGACGTGCAAAACTCTTGCGTTAGGCTTATCGAAGCTTTATTTCACTATCTCCGGGGCGCGTGCTCTGACTCGTTGCATCACCGACATCCGTTTTGCTACCACTCTTTCTAGTCCACAGGGCAGCCAAAACAAGAGCTGTAGGCGCTAATCTTGCTAAGATTATTTATACGGAAGTCTCTTCAGTAACATTTCATCGTTTTTTCAATAATACCTTTGAAACTCAAATTACTATTCGAGCGCGCACAGCTCTTCGTAACCGCTTGAGTGGAGGGCTCAGCTGAGGATCACAATGACCCTCACCGTCAGCAAAGGTTTATATAATAGAAATCGCGCGTAGGCTGTGAGTTACACTGCACAGCAATTTCAATTGTCGTCCAGTAAGAGGCAACTGAGGAGCGGTAATTGAAACCGCATGGCGAAAATACACACACGTGAACAGTTTGAGTAGTATTGAGGCTTGGCTTGTTGCCTGCCGGAGAGAGGTGGCGGGTAGAGCTCGGGTCCGTGCGCGCCGCGCCAGCATCACAATCACTCGACCACGGCGCCCCCTATAAACTTTTTCGCCAAAAGCAATTGAATTATCATTAAAAGGACTTCTGCAAAAGCATTTCTGAAGAGAATTATGGGTGAGTATTGATAAAATAGCAAAGAACTGTTTGATAAAGGCATTAAACATAGCTTTTTCACGAATACTTGGTATTTCCCTTCAAAAGTGTGAATTATAAATCGATAGTTGAAATTTCTAATAACAATAACCTTCCTAAAGTCTGTTCTAGCACATATAGCCATTTACTGACCCAGAAATCTCATTTATTACCGGAAAAAGGACGAATTATATCAGAAATTACCACACTAGCATTAGACAGTGCTCCGGCAGCCCTTTTTGTAGCCGTCCGAGCCGCGTGCCAGCAGAAAATGGCGCCGTCCGTAAAGGCTTAATTAGGGCTTTTCTCACTGTATTGTAAATTATTCTAAGCTTACTCTTGATATCCCGATACTGGACGATTTCCTCTACACTTCTGTGGGCTTTTGGGGCAATTATAACGTTTATGTGGGATCAAAGAGGTTCTCTTTTACGACACAATTATGGTGTTGTTGACGTTCTATCAATTATAATAACTTGTGCAAAAATATAACGATATGTGTCTATCAATTTCAGCATATTTTAATACATACAGCACTTAAAAAGATTATTTGTAATTAGCAATGGGCAAATGATGAAGTGACCTCTTTTGCTGGACAGGGATCTTCAATCGCATTTTTAGTAATCATTCGCAAGCTTGAATCTCTGGCTACTGCGCTGTTTTGCCGTTTTTCGAAAAAGACTCTATATAACGCTGCAGTAGAAAGAAAATATTCGTGCTCCAAACGAGAGATTTCTCATAGGATGGAACTCTTTCTTCAAATTGTAAAGAACCATTAATTACCGTAAGTTTCCACGATTCCAGAACTGTGCTTAGTTTCTGGAAAGAGCCTTTCACTACAGTGTAGCGTAATGTAAGAAAAACAAGACCGAGTTTCACATGTTCGGCATGCTTGTTTATCGGCTAAAGTGTAGTCTGGGTCTCTGCTGTCCACAGATTCGATACGAGATATAGCGATTGATCGGAATGCGTTGGCCTTTCACATCTGAAGTGCGATTTTTGTTACTCTGGGAATCCCTTCGCTGCTTTGAAAGAGACTCCAGACTTAACGTATGATTCTGAAACTACAAAATCTCCTCTACACGTTCATATGCTTTTCGTGCTTCCAGCGAAATGATAGTAAAAGCACGCGACCAGTTTGATACATGATTTTATTTCTAAAAACACGACGTTATGAATGGATCTTTTCAAAAAAGGACCATGTAGCGTAGTATCCAGAGATCCAACTTCTAAATAACACTCTTACGAAAAATTCTTGTTAAACGAAAGCAATCGTTTCTTTATTTGTCCCGGATAAGCGAAAAGAACTCACGAAAGCAATAAAAGTGACTGAAAATTGAAAAAATATTAAACATGCCGTCAAAAAGATGTTGTACAGTGGACGCATGTCAGTTTATCGATAGCTCTTGCTGTAACTCTTTTGCTGCTCGAAGATCATACACTGGATGATCAGTATTCGCTTACAACGTGATACATGTGGGCTATCTTGAGGCTCTTCAGACTGCGTACTAAAAGTACATCATAGGGGCTTTTTCTAAAAGTTGTATTTTGTAGATAGCTCATATGGCGCAATGGTTGGAGGTACTATGCGCCACATGCAAGTTCGATAGTTCGATCTCGGGCTCATGGCTCATTAAGCCATTCATCCCTCCGGGATCAATAAACTGGTACCATACTTGTTTTGGAGAATAAGCAGCACTGATTCGATGGAGCGCTAGGCCACCGCGAGCCATGGTATAAGTACTATATGCATTCAATCACCTAAAACGGGATTAAAAATTTAAGACGAATCTATAAGGCATTCCTCTGGGATTCAGCAAAGCGGAGAGCTGAAACCTTATTTTATTATACAGTATAGCGCATGTCTTTTTGATTCCACTTCTACAATATCGTCAAAAATGAGCAGTAATAACTGGAAATACCTTGTATGCCCACTAATGAGGCCTTCGTAATAGAAAGTCGCGATTTCCAAGACACATGGGCGCTATTTTCTTCTAAGAAAGACTTTCATAGAAAGCTTTCGATAACATAACATTTTTTCTATTCAAAACTTCTTTAACATATGACCTGAACTATACAACTACCAACTTCTGCGAAGTTAAAACGATAAGTTTTTTACTCAGAGTGTGAAACGATACCAACATATAATCATTTTATTTGACACCTTTTTGATGGAGACATCATGTCACAAATATACCTAATAACATTCCAATGATGTGGAGTGCTCTGTAAAAACATTTGCGTCAGCAGGGGTTCGAACCCAGATCCCACTCTTTGCGTAAGCGTATGCTAACCGTTGCACCACCAACGCTCGTTTTACACAGCACTCTCTTACGCTTCCTCGGTTTGAATCCCGGCTGACGCAAACAGAGCACTCCACTTTGTTGGGTATATTACAAGATCATACCACCACAAGGAGCGGTCAATTAAACGATTTCCTATACCTAATAATGTTGAGTGAAGTGCAAAACTTTGACTTCAGACGGCAATCAAAACCGCGATTCACCCCTCCTGAGGGCACGTGCTGATCAATTGCACTATTAACGCTTGTTTTGCCTTCACCTTTCTACGCAGAACGCATCCACCTGTAATTGGGATCAGCGCCAATATGGCTTACCAGGTTGACGGTGTTCGTTGACAGACTGATGCGTTGTAGCGTTGAAAAAGTGTGGGCATAAGGTGCCACTAGTGAAACTGGTTCACACGCGTTCCCGAATGGGTGGAATGCGAGTTCGATTCCCATCCGACGTCAAGATTTTGCCCATCACTCAACAGTTCAAACGTAATCTTTTTTCGTCCCCATAGCGCACTAAGCAACTGTTAGAATTGCATTTTTCAACCTACTGAATACTACTAATTTTCCACTAAAAGCCGAGCATAAACGATAGCGGAGCACACGAATCACTCCGAAGGCAAAGCGTATTTTCTGTCCGTCGTTATTACAGTGCTGAAAAGATTTTTTCTAGAACCTATTCAAATATTAAAACTGCCTTTAGAATAGCTGCTTTTCAAGCTATCGAATGACTACTATATCTTTAGGATAAAGCTTAGTCTGGTCAAAAAGCCAAGCAAATACGATTGCAAAATACGCTATAATTTCCGAAGAAAGAAATTGTGAATTTCTCTCGGGTGCTACAGCTTATTAGAAAAGCGTTTTCAAAAATCAGTTATAGCATTGGAACGGCATTTTTCAGCTGTTGAACGGCTACTAAAAGAATATTGAAAAATCATTGCCTGACGAAATAACCACGAAAATGTAGCGCATACCAATCATGGTAGACGCGCTTTAAAGAAGGTTAAATTCGTTGTTTAATCCGCACACTAATCAAGATTGATCAGAAAATCAAGACTGGAAAGCGCTCTTCAGTGAGGAAGTGAACGAAAATCTTCATGTTCCACTTACTTTTGTCTAACCTGGTAAATTGGCGCTGACAACGTCCTGTTAATTGACTGAACGATGTTCAATACTTAAGGGTATCATGACTATCAACGACTTGTCGGCCAAGGCTAAGGAAAAGAGCGTCAAGATTCATCCGCTTGTTAACGTTGTTGCTGGTGATAATAAATTGCGTAAGAAGTTCGTGCCGTTTCGATATAAAGGATATATGGCCCACTTTATTCTCCGCATAGTTCCTTCACACCCGTATACCACTCAATTCTCTATATTTCCTCTCTCGGTTGCCCTATCCGAAAAGGTCATATCAATACGAGTTAGATGAAATATTTGTTATTGCTGACAACTGCATGATCACTCTTAAATTTATTTCAAGAGCAGGCTGTGGTACTCATATCATCTTGTCTACGTATTTCATGTTCTTATAAGCTTTTCAAGTCAAGCACTTTGCCGAATGCTCCAGGGGTAGTAAAAGTGGCTTCGGTGGTGTAGTGGTAGTACGTGCCGCGCGTTATAAGTGAAAGGAGGAATCGAATCTTGTTTGAACCAAATGTTTTACATGTCATGAACTACTCATATATTCATCTTCATAACGTTATGGCACTGTCTTGAATCAGTATAAGTAAAAACTTAATGCTTATACAACTCGAAAAGCTGTCATTTGAACTGGGTTGAATGCAGACATGTGCTTACCAGACCAAACCAGCTGAAGATTGGTCGCTTGCATCTCCGATAGGATTATCGAAGATAGCATGATGGCAAAGACGAGGTAACTGCGGTGTAGTAGTTTCAGGTATTCCAGTATGGATGGAGCGCACGTTTCACTCCCGCTTTGGGTCGAGTACATTGCATACCTTTCAATCACTTGGATTTACATTTTTAATATGATGACGCGCTTAAAAGCAGTAAAATAAAAGAAATTAATTAGGTCATTCTGCAGTAATGCTTATCTAGGCCACAAAATCCGTGTAGTGGAAGACGCAGCCGCAGAATTGAGCGGGATCAGAGCGAGCGGCTTGATGGCTTTCAAGATTATCAAGAATGTAATAAAGAGAAGAAAGAAACGCGACTTTGTGCACACTCTTCCAACTCAACGACTCTTCCTCCCCTCACATATGCAACGAAGACTTGACACTTAGGCAGGATGAAAGATCACTTGGCGTTACTGAATGCATAGTCCACTGACTAGGAACTGGGATAAATGTTGAGTCACTGTAATGAGAATTTCTTGGTTGTGATAAAAATTACGTTCAACATTGGAACCAAGTAAGCGAACAAACCTGAGCCTGCGATGGGGTGGTGATAAGATCTATTACGATCTCTGATATTCAAGATGGTATGTCGTTGACGATGAGCAGAAGTTCTCAAAGCAAACTAATGTGCTACAGCAGCACTTGTACGTACCAAATATACATAAGACATATCCTCATATTTTGAAGCAAATGTATCAGCAAAAAGTGCTCGAAACAAAATGTTACGCAGCTTTACACAGGGTTCAAAAGCTGCACTAACTAATCAGACAAATTTGCATGATAGACGATGAGCAAACATCTCGAATTCCCTTGGGAATCTTATCCCAGTAACCCACATTGGTTGCTATTTCATCAGGCTAAATTGTAAACCTCGAGCATACGATCATCATCGTCTATTTGAAGTAACTCTAGATATCGAAAGCCTTCGGCATATATCAACTAGCTAGATGGATTCCTCATAAATAAACATCAAAGCGTTGGATCGAACCATGAGTACTTTGGCCACCTGCACCTATTTGTGAAATAAAGCTCTAATGGTGTAGGCATGCTGATCTTGTCCGCATTGTTATCGGTATCCTGGAACGTCTATCCACAGGATTTGGTGTTCCAAAGAATCATAACCATTTACCAAATACTCATTTGATGAAGCGCTAGTGTCCTGTAAACACGAGTCCGAGAACATGTTTGAGAGTGTTTATTTCAGCTTTCATAACACCGACGTCTTTTTAGCACGGACACATATCTTAAATCCACTGACAAGCACCACTGAAACAAACCTATTATATTTCTGATAGGCTGTTGGTAAACATAACGACACTTTTGAAACACAGTTTGTTCCGTTGAAGGAGGCTTTGAATCTGTGCATATGACTAGGCAGAGTACAGGCCTGCAGTTTCAGCAGACGACAAATGACCTGAATTCCAATATATCTACGGTGATGAATTATCTGAGTGCGGCGTATCCACTAGTCCAGGCGCTTCATTGGTTGCAGTGTTCAACTTCGTCTCGGTCTCGACAAATGCAGTCCTGTCATAGAGCCCGGTAGAGGTGAAGTGACAAAAAAGTTTGAAATACAAAAATATAGCTAGATTTGGGCAATGGCCATGATAACAATGCCAGTTTCAAGTTACACTCACACTTCAACACTGTGCCTGAAGATATGTACAAACCTATAGCATTCTGCATATTGAACAAAATTGTTAGGCACGCCCGTCTGTGCATATGTCGCACTTTGAATAGTGTGAGTGTCATTTAGTGCACTAGCTGTAGCGTTTCCTCCATTGTTGGCCCAAACACCACCAACATCAGTTTTTTGGACTGAAATTGGCTAAAATGGTAGAACACCGTTGATTTTTAGCAATCAAAAGTATATCGCGAACTTTATAAGAATTTACCGCGAGAGTCAGTACAGATACCAATATTGTGGAGGTCGTTGCATAGCCATGCAATAGAATTACAACCGTTTCGTGCAACCTCACCAGTGAGCAAAGACAGGCTTTTTTGAGGAACGTCGCCAATCTGATAAGAAACATTTTGGAATGGTTCATAATGGCACCTTGGGCATCAAAGCCATTCTCAAGGAGTAGAGTATTCAACTCCAAATTAGCAAAAGTTTCGATCTGGCAACTCGTATAAGCTACTGTATTCGATGAAATTTGATCACTGAAAACTAGCGCATTTACCGCTGATCCACTGTACGTGTAATTCGTCTGCTCATTTCCATAACTCACAAAGCATTTAAAATTTCACCCCTTGTTTAGGATGTTGCTCATAAATTTCTCCTTTTTAAGAATGTCATAAAATGGCGCTCGATACGATTTTCTTTGCAACCTTGAAGATAGCAGAGCTAAGGCGCTTCTATTTCGATTCAAAAGAGAGATTTCAGGAGAACGGTTTGAGCCGGTATTCTCCTTTCCAATCTACTGTATCGTCATCCACTTTGATATCCCTCTGTGCTTTGTAAGTACAAAAACAAATGAGAAGAGTGTAGACCTTGTAAGCGTGTAGTTCCACAAAATACAACACTTTATCGTCGACAGTCGTATGACTGGCAAGTAGAAAAACTTGAATTATTATCGAAAATTTGCACTTATAAGGCAGTTTTCGTAGATGTATTCCAGTTAAATTTGTAGACTGAGATCACTACCGTTTCACGAACCATTTGTTGCGCGCTATATAACTGTTGTGGAGTACCACGAATGATGAAATTTTTACAGTCGACCCACACTCTCATTTGGATTTGGAGGAGGATAAAAAGAGAGCACACAACGAGCACCGCTTTTTTCGTTAATCTGTAAAAACATCCACTCATAATGAAGAGAAAGTAATTGTGTATTTATGTATATCGTCAAAATAACCCTCTCTTATCGTCTTCCCTTTTTTACCTATAACAAGACCTGTTTTTTTACAACGGTACGTTCATGTTGAAGACCTAAAGCAGGTTTTTTATGTTGTGACAAATGGCACGCTAACCGTTAAGAAAGTGATAAGTTGTTCAAATAGAAACAAGCAACAAAAAGCTTTTGCTTCTTATGTCTCTCGTCTAATTTTTTGTTTCTTACCATTTCAAAATCTTTCTATACTTAGGAATGCGAATTTTAACATGGAACTTGAAGAGATCTCACAACAGCTAGAGAATTTTTTAAGAGTTATCTCAACAGCAGC